TATTGATTAGATATCCATCCTTTAAAATGTGCGTCGTCAAATGTGAACTCGGGAAAAGTTGAATCTATATGTGAAGTAAAGAAAATAAGAGGTTTATTAATTCAAACTAAATTAATAAAGTAAAAGATGAAAAGGGGTCGTTTTTCTGAACGTAGAAGACAAGAGGTGGCAATTTTCTTGGGAGGCCAAGACTGGTTGGGCATTGAATATGTGATGGTGTTTGAAGTGGGTCAGAATTCTCAATTATTGTGTCTCGGTGGAGGCCGATGTGTTTACAATAATGATTCAACGTTGTCATCACATTGTCTTGTAATTTCTTCAATTTGGTCCCGCGCTTCAACCCCTTTGAGCCGAGCGTACATAGAGACACAAAGACACAAAACACCAACCAAAGGGTTAGGTTTCTCTCTAGCCTCTCTTCCACACACTTTCACACACCTATACTACTTCTTCCGCATGTATGTTATTGATGGTTAAGTTTCAAAAGATAAATTAATGAAAGTTAAGTTTTTTATAATTTTTTTAAAAAATCAGTTATAAATATCAATTCAAATAATATAAATTTAAAAATTTTAATTACAAATAAAAAATTTAAATTTTAAATATAATAATTAGTTTTTAGTTTGTATTTTTGTTTAAACCGTTTGAATTGATATTTGTAATTAATTTTACATGAATTTTATCAGAGACCTAATTGCAATAATTATTTTTGGGACTTTATTGCCATTCTCCCTGTATGTTTTTAAGATTCCTTTTCTTTTTCTTTTTAATATGATGGTACTATTCATAACTCATAGCCATAATTTTTATTTAATTCTAGATTTAACTTTTGAAATTTTTTAATGAAATTTATATTATTCTTGTGATTGGATATCTTTACCACATGCGTGATGAATGAATAGAAACTAAAAAGTGTATGATCCTCTATTTTTATTTGCTGAGAAGTTGTCATTATTTATTTATTTTTTAATAAGCAAAATCACATGTCTTAATAAGCATTTATTATATTTTTTTAAATTATTTATCATAATTTACAGTAATGAGAAATAGTTAATATATGTTTACATTGATTAACATGTGTATTTTAGTTAATTTCTTTATTTTCATATATAATTATTATAGTTAATTGATTTCTAAAATTGTGTGATATAATTTTTTCTAACTTATACCTAAAAACAAAGGGACACGTTAACATGACTTATGAATAAGGAAACATATATAGTTATCAATGAGAGTCAGATCTTGCAAAAGCAATGAGTCTCTTGCAAATATAGGAGAGATACTCATGTCTAGTAGTCAATTGTATTTCAAATATGATAAGAACACATGTATGAAAAAAAAGAAGACTATATACAATAAGTTATATGCCACACTCTCAATTTCAAAATACAACTTTTTAGAAGATTTTAATACATGTTGTTTAAAAAAGTTCAATGTAGCATTTATTTATATTGATTTTTTTTCTTATTATATATACTTTTATTTATAATCTAAATGCAGCATTCATGGGCACACATTTTTTTTTTTTGTATTTTCCTTAAAAGACTATATTTTGAAAACGGAATGATGGCCATTCATAAGGTCCTCCTAACAAAATTAAAAAAATCTTCTTCGCCCTACCCTTGCAATCTCAAATATAAGTCACTTAGTGCGGAGTTTTATTTTTATTGTTACATAGAAGTCACTTTCTAAGTTATCGTTATATAGATTTTCTCCTTTAAATATGCTCGTTAACATTTCTCAACAAACAAAAAAAACAAAGCAATATACTATGGAGGGAGGCAAAACCATCCATTAGAGGCAAAAATGTGAAAATAATTGTGGTTTTGTTATAAATTTAATAATTTTCTCAAGATGAAACCAAACTCTTTGTACATTGGTTAGGTTGTCTGATGTTTATACACTCTTATTCACTATTGTTGTAAAAAAAAAAATATGTGTGAAGTATTGGTGACTTATTATTAAAATTGGAAGAAGGAGTGGTCAGTACCCATCAGAGTAGTTCCACTTTGATTTGAAGACATACTTTAAGTAAAATGAGTCCATGAATCATTAGTTTATAATTTTATTTTTAATTTATGGTTTATTAAATGTGTACAATATATTTTAATGCTTCTAAGTTTGATCATCTTTTTTTTTTGGTAAAAACCATCTACTGTTTTCGTTGATATTATTATGCTAATTATGATTGACGACAGCAATCAAGTTAAAAAAATTCAACATGCTAATAGTATATTAAATTTAAAAATTATTTTAACGTTAAAATTTGAGGCTAAGTTTTAACCTAAACCCATTTCGCAAGAATAAAATAGTAATCCACTCTTCGTATTTATCAAAAGAAAACTCTCGACTCATTGGCTTTCATTATTGTATATCTAGTCTCCATATAATGCAAGAATCATCAAACCCCCCCCCTCTCTCTCTCCCCCCACGAGGACACAGTCATAAAAATATCAATCTGTCGCTTCTATCTTGATAGTCTTGAGTTTTGACTCATTCTTTTTCATTTTCTCTCTTGCTACAGCCTTATTAAATTATAAATGGGTGACTTTCTCTATATGTTTCCTATTATCACACGTTATATGATAACCCAGTGTTACAAGACCATGTAAAAGGTTCTGCACGTACTCTTCAATTCAAACCCCTCTCGTGGATTCTGCATTCCCTGCAGATTTTCTAAAAATTAAGTCAAAACACCCATAATTTCTGGAAATTCTCTGCTGGTCTTTCCAATATTCTGGTTTTCTCTAGCTTTCCCTGTTCAAACCACACTTTAACCCTATTTCTTCCAAATTTAAACATCAGAGTAGTTTCGCTTCTGCGACGTATTTGAAACATTCTAAGTTTTGAACACTTCGACGCTTTTCATGTCCTCCAACTCATGCACTATAAAAAGAGGAGACAAGTGCCCATTAAACGCACACAGTTCAATCAAAACTTAAGAGAACCAAACCTTTTCACTATCAGGTGTAATATAACCTAATATCCTTCAGCTGATTCTCTTTACATA